CAAATTGCGCGCTCCAATCTTCCATCGCAATCCTGCGATAGGCGGCGGGTGCGACGTGTGCGACGCCGTGTTAGGGGAGAAGTTCCCGGACCCATAACGTGTCAAAGATCAGATGGCCGCTGATAAGACATTCCGTACGGGAGGGAAGTAGGTGTTCTAGTGGCGGCTGCGGCACGCACCGCTCTATCTGCAGCCCTAGTACTTCTGCGTGGGGGGAGGAGGGAGGTCCAGCTCAAGCTGGCCTTCTCAATCCGTCGCCCCTTTAGTGGCTATAGCTCTCCTATCCTCTGTTGAATAGCCCCGCACCTTAACTCCATATCAGCTTTAAATTGTTGAAAAATTGTCCTTTGTCTTTTCAGGATCTCGAAATTGTGCAAGTGTCGTTAAGCACATCCCTACAGAGTGCTGCTGAAGCCGGTCCTACAAAAGTCAGTAGACCGACGGTGTCTGCTGTAAATTCTGTGGACAACTGCACAACTGATCACTCGGTATCATCGTCATCAAGTTCACATTCAAACTCTCCATCGCTTACTGCAGGCTCTTTATCGTCATCGTCTTCACGCAGGAAAGCGAAAGTACCTCGGAAAATGATTATTGAGGCTTGAATTACTATCATAGCCGTTATTCTAGTGTTCTTCCCTGATCGTATTCGTGTATACTCGGTGATTCGCATACATTGTGACTGAATTCATTCATTTTTAACTTTGCAGAGTTGCTTCCTACACTGCTTAGTACATGATTTTCATTCAAGATAATATAGCCCATAACTAAAGTCAATTTACCCCTTTTTGTTCCCCCTTTTTTCCTTCGTGGGCAAATCTTTCGGGACTTCAGTGCGTCGTAAACTTCCGTTTCTTCTTCTGTTTACGGAATGGCTGTGAACTTGTGAATATATCAGACCAAATCTCTTTGAAAACCAAATAATGAGACCTGCACATTCGCTGGGGGTCTTATTCACAGCTCAATAGGATCCATAGGGCAGTGACAGGCCTCATTTTTCATATCCTTCACGTATTGTATTCGATTGTGTCTGATATTCTACAGCACAGTACTCTAGTAGGCTTTGTTGTGTGCACGAGCATTATAAGCTTTACAGAAGTGTGTACTTCGAGTTTGTATTTTTTTAAATTCATTTTCCAGTCCTTTTTTTGACTTTCACCCATGACACTTGCCATTAGAATCGCCGTTTAGTGAGCTGCTTGTACAACCACTCCACTGGATTGCCTCTCTTCTCTTTCTTGCCGCTATGTTGCTTGTGATTCTGTGACCCCCCAGTGCCCATGAGGCTTCTTGTCGTTTTCCCATTGCATCCCCCTCCATATCTTTTCGGTGCCCAGCCCTATCATACTTTCCTCTTTGTCGTGCAGTTGAAGTACATGTGATCTCTTTCTGTGCCTACATTTCGAGCCCGGCCTACTCTCCTCGTTTCTGTGCGCTACATCGAATTCTATTTGCACTAGTGATTCAAGCAATCATACTACACATCTAATAAATATCATAATATCACGATTTCACCCTTTTCAACTATTGGCTTCACTTAAGAAAAATGGCGAAATGTGAAGGCGTAAGGTTCATGTCGCACGAGTAACTAAGTACGGGTGTGGTGCATTAGGAACGAAATGGTCGCGTCGCTGTGAGAGGGGCGTCGCGCGCGAAGTAATGTAGTAGGATGCAGCAGTAGNTAAGAAATACAAGAACAAAAGTACTAATAGTAGAATTATGCATAAAATAATGATCGCATATCTGTATGAAGAACGCTAGAGCTGTAATAACGGCGAGTGAGTGGTCCGCGACAGCCGCGTGCGGCAAATCGATTGCCCAAAATCGCTCCTAACGGCCGTCTCCCACTAAGTACGCCTAAAGCAAGTGGACGCTCCAAAAGGTCAAAGCAGTGTTCCCATTTCTTCGTTGAAGCGCGAGTTCGAGAGGAGGCTCAAAAATACTGTTTTAGAGGCCTTTCTACCTTTAAACTTCAACTCCTTTGTTTTCAAATACACCACTCTTTCATTGCGCCATCAAACACTCATACACATTTCCTCTGGAGTCCCCACTCGAGAACCCAAAACCTATCACGCTAGCAAGAGGACTTCCGAAAAGTGGTTAGGATTCAAGTTCATGTACATAAGTTTGATTTGGAGGAGGTTCGGGAAAATCATGAGTCCTTATAAAAATGTTGAGAAGAGGGGCTGCTTTCATAGTCCACGATTTGGCCCGCGACCGACCGATCGTGCGAGTGGTCGCGGGCCAAATCGTGGACTATGAAAGCAGCCGATAGCGGGCGAACGCTTCGAGATCTTCAAAAGGTCCTAAGCGCTAATTCTGAGAAAACGCCCGATAGAAGTATGGCTCTTACAAAGCACCATATTATGAAACCGAGAACGGCTACATTCTTAACTGACGAGAAGTTCCTCATGCCCCTTCCAGCACAAATTGTCCTCCCGGTCGCTTTGAAAACTGCCATGATGAGAAAAAGTTCCACCAAGACGAACATCTCCTTCGGCAGCTTTCTACGGTTCTTCGTAAACTGATATCTAGGGAGAAGCGCATTAAGAAGCAGCTCAAGAGAAAAGCAAATTGCTGTGTTGAACAAGTTTATATTCTCGATGTTAACTGGAAAAACTCGATGAAACCTCCAGAAAGGATCTGGAAACAGGGTAGCTGAAGGAACACGCAGATAATATCCATCCATCCACCAGCTGTAAAGGCGGAATGTAAGGTGTTGACGTTGATACGAACCTTCGTGGAGAGCAGACGGCTGTCTGCCTTCCCAAAAAACCAAACGCTTCTGGCATGAGAAACGGGCAGTAGGAACGGTTTCGCGCAATCGATTCACCGCGCGCGGCTGTTGCGGACCATATGCCTCGTTATAACAGTTCTAGCGTTCTTCATACAGTTCAATCGCTATGCGATTATTATTTATGGCATGATTTCCTGTTAGTTGTTTTGTTCCTAAATTTCTTACTTGCTGCTGCATTCTGCTACATTCTTTCGCGCACGGCGTCTCTCGCGGCGACGCGACAATTTCGTTCCTACTGCACCTTACCCCTTTTGGCATGCATCCACATGAAGCCAGTCAATGTGCACATTGATTTTACCTCTGTCCGGATAAGTCCGGTTCGAATTTTCCCATAGTTACTATTATGTCCTGTTGATTGGATTCGATCTACGGCTCTTACAAGTAGTAGCAGAGCTCCTACGTGACCACTCTACCAACACCCTGCCCCAACGACTAAACAAATAAACAACACTTAGTGAATGATAGTTTACTACACAGATTACACAGATAAATTTCTACTTATTCAACGTCAACAAGTCACAAATAGTTGGCGTCAATAGTAGAGGTCGCTCTTGATACATTTCATTGAAACTAGCGAAGTTCTCCGAAGATAAGATGCGTGGGGACAGACAAGAGAGGTGTCGGAATGCACACCGAATTTGTGTGTGTGTGTAGCTGTTAAGAGTATAGCTTGGACAAGATGCCTAAGTAGGAACACAACGAGAGTACCATAATTTGTATATATAAAAATAGTAATATTAGATTTATGTGGAAGTGCACTGCACCGTTCACTGCATTGGTGGTGGAGCTGCTGGATCGGTAGTTGTGGGTTGTGCTGGAGGGTTTGTAGCTGCCTGAAAGAAGTAGCGTGTACCGGGACTACCTATTCATCGACCGAGCAGTAAGTGCAACCTATAATGACAATGTCGGACAAACTCACCTGATCATGGCTAGCTCCGGGAATGATTTTTCCTATCGCCTGCTGCGCCTGAGATGCATACCCTTTTGTCGTTTCCGCTGAAATCAATAGAAATATTTCTTCTGTATAACCTCTACAATCTCAGCCTCCTCCATCTCAGCCAATTTGCTCTTCTACGAGGTCTTGTCTAAATTATGTTGACTGTAAGCTCAGGACTGACTGAAGTGAGCTTCGGAAGTTCAGAGTTTTGGAAAAATTGAACAGGCTCACCAGCTGTGGAAAGCACATCTTTGGTCTTGTCGAAAATCGAATTCAGTGCGTTCTTCTGAAAGGATATAGACATACTGACATTTAAAAAACAGAGTAACAGTGAATGTTTAACATTTTGGCTAAACCCTGCAGCTTATATGTGGGCTCTACCGTCAGGCCAACAGGAATGTTGCAACCGTTTAGCACTTTTGATGGTTTTCGTGAGTTTTCATAGCTATTCAAGACACGGTACGTCAAGTGACTAGCTATCACACGCGCATGGCCACGGGTTCGATTCCCGAATCGATATCCGCCTAGGCGAACCAAGCCTTCCTGCCCTTCGGGCTAATTGGTACCAGATCAACCTGGCAGGTTAAAATCATTGACTTGGACACAGGCTAGCGGCCGAAAGTCATTGTATGGGTCACATACGTCCAATAACCACTACAATTTCAAATGGAAGTCGAATGCGGGGGCGCATTCCTCAAATGGTAATCATTAAGGCCCGGAGACTTCATGCTTCCTTTGATATTTTTACAAGGAAGAAATAGCTCTCCATAAATTAATGGCCGCTTTCGGGCCGCGCCAAGCGTTCTGTTTCTTGTGGCTGAAAAAATGGGCTGGAAAGGTGGCTCAAAGCGAAGCCTGCCAAAGCTTGGTTTGCAAAAAGTTGGTAGATTAAGTAATGGAGCTTTGATTAGGATTACGGTCTCGCTTTTTTTTTTTGAAAGCAACAATTTATAACAGTTGATCCGACGATACCCAAATAAACGTTGAAATCCAAAACTGGCAGATAAATGGAACTATCAGAGGCTGAAATAACGCAATGACAACAGACACTCTATTCATTAGTCCAAACTGATGCTTGCACCCCTGAGAGCTTAGCCGAATATCGGTGTTAAAGGTGTCTTAAGATTGTTTGAACTCAGAAGACCTTCAATCTCGGAAGTGTTTCCAATTTGGATGAATTTCATTGATAGCCATCAAATCTAGCTTCTGCGCCGTTACTTTAAGGAGTGAAGCGGTCGGGTGAACAATGGTTTCAGATGACAGCATTCACTCCAACATCACTCAAATCGTTAAGATCCTTGACGATGGAGCAATGGAAGACCCTTTTTTGCGGCTCAGAGATGTGGTGGCCCGTGTAGCTGTTAGCTATGAGCTTTTTAGGGGAACTATTCCATGCTCATGAAGTAATCATGTAGATGAAAAGCCTGGCCCCTTCCAGAGGCAAACCACCTGCACACTATGTATCTAATAACGGATACTTGCCTTTGTCAAAATTCTCTTGGGCTGAATTACTGCAAATGGAGATGGATGATCTCGAAAATGGAACTCAAGAATGTTCGTTTTTCACCCTGAGGCAAAGAGAGGGAGCTGATGCGTTCGCTCCATCGATTTCTCCATTGGGGACAATCTTCTCCACCCTGCCAGAAGCCCTCCATGTCTCTCCTAACACGGAGAGGACGCTGATGAATCTATTCAAAAGCCGTAGGTGAATGCGTAAAAAGTGAGCGCCACAGCTTTGTCACCTCATGAGTTCTCCGGAAATGTCAACGTGGGCTAAACACGACTGCGAAAACTTCGTAGTGCTCAGTAAAGAGCCGATGAAAAAAGAAAAAGCTGGAAAAAACTGGAATTCAGTCAATTTTGGCTTCTGGATTAAACCGCAACCAATGAAGCTCTCAATTAAAGCGATTTATTTAACAATTTTAGAAACTTTTAAGAAATAGTTAAAGTGATGCAATTAAAAGCCTGAGGTTCGATTAACCTCCCGAATGCACGCAAAAGTTCTCTCCAGGATGTCAAACTAGTATTACGGCGAAGGCGCCGAAGAAGATGTAGAGGCCCAAACGTCATCTCAATGAAGCTTTACAATCTCGGGAAGGCTCAAGCCATTCTACTTACAAGTTCACCTACACTTACTTAGATTCGGGAACTACCCACATGACGCAACGTTTCGATCAGAAAAGTCTCAAGAATATGTATCCTACTACCAATAGCAAGATCAGCTCTAGGTTAAGCTTCACCCTCCAAAAGAGTCCACCCATATTGGAGTCCATGATATATTAGATTTTTTCCAGTGAAACATGATATCCGGCTAGTTCAACTGAGAATCATAAGCCTCTCATAGCCCTCTGCCCCTTTCGGATTGTTCAGAGGCGAAGAAGCCTATTTGAAGTTGGTTGCTACATTTCGCTGGTGGACGTTTGGGCAAGTGAGCGCCGTAAATCGAGGATTTACCCGGAAGGAAAGCACGGGATTACGGGATTTCTCATTCATATGCGAACTAGCTCAGTTGATGGCATGAAGAAGTACCACAGTCACCGGGGCTCCTTCAAATTTCCGTGAGAAATACTGGTAAGCTTGCTTTGACAAAGTAGCTCATGGTAGTGAAAGATTGTCCTTGTATGCCACGAAATCAGAAAACTTTGTTTTAAAAGCGGCGAGCGAGGGTCTCGAATTTCAAGTAACTGCTCTGAAGCGGTCTCCTTCAGCAGACTCTTATTTTACAAGAGCTAGTGAGACGGCAGGTTGAGGTTAGGGAAATGGCGTCACTCCTCGAACAGAAAAAAGTTCTATACGGATATTCCCTTCCAACAAATCCAGGAGATAAGCCTGTGGGCCATTTCTCCACCCGGCAAAAAAGGTCCGAGATCTTCTGTCAGTCCGTAAAAGCCCTCCCTCTTAATTTTTAAGATTAAATTCTTACAGAACTTCCCCATCCCACCCTCTGCGTGGGTCATCACCTCCTTCAACAAAACTGTTGGCTATGGTTTAATGGTTGCTTTATGTGATTGTATGGTACCCAAAGAAGTGCTGATTAGTGATATAAGAATAAACCCTGGTAACATACTCACCGCAGCGTCTGCAGTCCCAGCCATATTGGTCGTCGGCTTGCTGACGAGTGCCTACCTCATCGATTCGACGAGAGCAACGCCTCCTTTTCCTCTCTGGGACTCTCGAATAATACAATTATTGGAGAGAGGGCTGAGCATAGAAGGCAGGGAGGGAAGTGCTGGCGCAGATGGCCCACAGCACACTCATTTAAGACTCACCACTCTCAAAAACTATTGAATCGCCAACAAGCAAACGTGCCCCCCGCTGGAAGGGAGAAAAAAATTATAAATTTTGGGGCAACAAGCTGAAAACTCACAATCTTACAATCAACAGAATCCTTTACAGTAAGAGATAGTCTAAGGAACAGCAGTAATGTTTACTTGGCAAAAGATTGATGATTCCAAAGGTCCAATGTGGAGGAATGGCGCACAAAATCCTCTTGAACCTGCACCAGTAAGAGTTGTTTCTGCTGCCACCGCGTTTTCAGGGAACGCACTCCCAAGGGGCAAGGGCCAGAGAAACCAGGGACAGTCCCAGGTTCTACGGCCATAACGGTGGTGGTGGACTCCCTCAAAAACTCTGTCTCCGCTGCCACCAGACCAGCAGCCGAATTGTGGCTGTCAACCAGATAAGAAAGAAGAACTGGAAAATAACTCATGTAGGTGTACGGCTGCATCAAGTATGAAAGGAACAGGTTTTACCTGAGCCCTGAAATGCCTCCAAATAAGCTCCGAACTAGCGCTTTATAGTGTGGACCTGATTGGCCAGTTGAAGGCGACAGGATCAACGGAAGTAAATGAAGTAAATAACAGAAGTCAGGAACGAAGAAGAGTGGATTCTCGACTTTGCTGTACTCCATGACCTAGCAGTCTGCAGCACGGAAAACATATTCAGAAGTTAACCTAGCAGTAAAGGGAAACTACCGAAAATAGGTCAGATGCTCGAGAGAGAATCGTCTTCAAGGGTATGAAAGACGTCAAAATTCTGCCTGGCAAAGAATCGGCCCTCAGCATAGGCCTCCTTGCGGACAAAGCCATCGAACACCCCAAAAGAGCAGGGATAAAAACGGGGCGAAGAATTCTGTGGCGAAAGCTGCACCGAGCGGAAAAAATGAAGTGAAGCGAATAATATTGAAGGGTGGGTTCCTAGGATCCTAAAGATCAGCCCAGTGGTCTTAAAACAAAGCAGGGAAGGTCATCCTGCAATGTGCAAAAGAAACTTTGGGTGTGCGTTGTTTCTGTTTCTGGAATAAAGCCCAAAACGTACCTGATCAAAGAAAGTAGGCAAAAAAGAGATCTTCAGAAGACCTGCTACCCACGAAATCTGCAGAAGACTCAGTGAGGATGCGGCAGCGAAGGCAAAGAATACTTAACTTGGCACCATATATGAGAAGCTCGACAGTCGAGAAGCGGAGAAGTTCGGCTTCGGGCTGGCCAGTGCCCGGAGCTTTTCTAGACAATTGGAATAGGAAAGCCCTCGAGAACAATGTCACCCTAAAAAACCCAAATGCGGCTGGAAAAATACTTCGATAAGCTCCTAAGCGAGTTCCATCCCAAAACAGAAGGGGACGGCTGACCTCATCGCACAGTGGTCAGAGGTTGGGGCGAGTCAGGCGATAAGAAGGTTGGGAAAGTGATGGTCTGTATGGGTGTACCAGTCGAGGCATAGAAAACGCCCAGAGGAATGGCTCACCTGATTCCTGAACACTGTAATAACCAGATGGAGGAGGTATTCCAGACGCATGAAGGAGCATCACCATGCCATCTCCAAGAAGAAGGGGAACAAGATAGAGCGTCCCACCTACCAAGGGATCAGGTTGACTAAGCACACGATCCTGATATCTGGGGAGTGACATGGCTATTCGCAATGACGTGGACCAGGGTGTGAGGCTTAAAAACGACATGGATAAAATGGAAGAGCTCAGTGGTAACCTCTGCGACAAGCGCTACTCTAGGAGGCTCAAAAGGAAGTTGACTAGGGCAGTGTTGAGGCTCTGCGGCACCACGTGCCGGCCAGTATGTAAAAATTACCAGCAGCCACTCCACTCAGTAGAAATGGCCATGTTTATAAGAGCCTGCAGCTAGATCGAATAAAAAACGGGGACCTTAAAGCGGACATGCAAACAACCCTTGAAGATAAAAATGAGAAGTCTACCTTTGACACGAAGAGAGCAACCATGAGAAGCCGGAGGACTAAATCGCTCTCCGAAAACAACGGGAATGGCCTCCGTAAGTTCTGATCGAGCGGAATCGGAAACCCTAGAGGGACTGGTTTCCGAAGAAAGTTAACCTATCTATCAGCGCTAGTGAGTTGAGTGCGGTTGCCAGTTCGCCTGCTATGAGGCTCAGAAGGGTTTTCCAGTCACTTCAAACTAAACCTCCTAGCGATTGGAAACTCTTGAATGTTACATTCAGTGCGCTTCATAGTAACAACCTGCTCTCCATAATTCTTTTCCCTGCAACCAAGCAGAAAGAGGCTAAATTTTCCCTTAGCTGCTTCCACTTAGAAAAGCAAAAAGCTCCTGTAGAACTCTCAGCACTGTCCTTTCGTAAAACTAAGGTCTTTTCGGAAAGAGGCTAAAAGGTGTAACGTAACTTACTTATTCGCTTTTGCCTTTTCACTGGCAAATTACTGTATTCATGTTAAGTACGCAATTACACACAAAGTTTGGAGCACTTTTACGTATAACTGCTACGCCGACGAAATTCATATTTAAGAAACTGCTTGCACGGTTACATTTGTATAAACTGCTTACTCGTAGTTGTTTAGGGATTGATTGGTACTACTTTACCCTAGAATTCTTTGAATTCAAGTTTTAAAATCTCCTATTTCTTCAGAAAAGTCGCCGAATGAGGTTTCGTCTTCTAAAGCTGTAAAGTTCGTAATTCTTTGATATTTGGTCGGTTTTTTGGTGTATTTAGTATTTTACTATACTCTACTATACTACCGACTATTATTGCTAGTGATATTTCGAAAACGGCAGTCGCGTTCAGCACTCTAGGTAGGCTCAACCTTTGCTACGCGTGTTAAGGATGTGGTTCAATTATTTCATAGCTTTATGAGGTGAACCTTTTCTAGTCTCTTTTTCCGAGTTCAGATCCATCGATTTGTAGCAAATGGATGAATTGGAACGCCTATCGTTGGTTTCGAAAGTCTGCTCGGAACTGGATAATCATTTCGGTATCAAGGACAAGGATGTAGCGGAGTTCATCATTGAACTGGCAACTATAAACAACACATTTGAAAAATTCAAGAGAGCGCTTGACGAGCAAGGCTTGGGAGAGCAAGTGAGTATTTTCCTTTCGGGGTCGGAACACCTTACCTCCTTAATCTACATCCACTTACCAAATTTTACAAACCTTTTTTTTTCTTCTGAAGCCATTGTTTCTCATTTGTTGTGTTTCAGTTCGATGATTCTTTGATAGCTAATTTGTTGCGCCTTATTCAACATATGTTGCCGAAGAAGAAAGGTCGACAAAATGGAACAAATTCATCTCATAAAATCACATTAATATCGGATGCTAAAGAAGAAATAAAGGTTATTTTACCTAAGAAATCTGTTCTTGTTATGGGGTTGAATTTGGGCAATTCAGGCAAGGTTACCGGCGCTTGCAATGCCAAATAGCAATGCTGACGACATGCTAAGTCAATTGGAAAATCTCGTTCCAAAATGGAAGGAAGCAGTAAGCTTCACTCTTTGGGCGTTACAATTGTTGCCTTGGCCTAATTTGTATCTTCGCCTTATTGAAATGTGATTTAGAAGAAAGAAGAGATAACTGAAGAGGAAAGTTCGAAGATTACCTCGTCCAGATCTCCTCAACGAAAAAAGAAGTCGGATAAAAGTAGGTCAAGAAAAAGTAGGAGCTACAGTCGCAGCCGAAGCAGGAGCAGAGATGCAGATCGGAGTAGGGGCAGAAGAAAAAACGGTCGTTCTCGCTCGAGGTAGATTACTCCACTTTTTTCCCGAGCTATGTTTATTATGTATTGTAGGAACCTGATCTTCAATTTTAAAAGATATTATGATAAAACTTACGCCTCGATAGGGGTCATGCGTTTGCTCCAACCCTTTGTCTTGACCAAAATTCGTTATTTGTAGGAACAGTTCACGATAATTTTGGGTAATCCAGATTATGATGAAAAATGGAAGACAAGATCGAAACTAGTGCGACTGAGGTGAAGAAATTGCGTTCATCGGCGTTTCCAAAGTGAAAAAAGGCTTCGAAAAACCGTTAAAAAGGGGGCTGGACGAGAATGAGACCAGAAAAANGTCATCTGGAATTGGTATCGCTACTTGAGTTTGAACAAAAACGTTATTTTTTGCCTTCAGTGCCCACCAGCTGGTCTTCTTCCGGGTCATGAGAGAGTAGAACTCCTGCTCCGTATCATGAGTGCCTTAGAGTGGCGAAACCTCAATGTACATGAAATTTGCTATTAAGAAATATAACCGTCTAGNGAGGAAGAGTGGGGCGTTTGGACGAGCTATACAATGTGTGTCAGTGCGTACGTGTGGGACAAATTGCAATATTCGCTTCAGGACCCACACACAATCAACTAAGGCCGGGCGGTGAGGCGATGTTTCTCTCCTATTCTTTTATGCCCTAGCTGTTGGGCGTGAACTGTGCATTGAAACCATATTACATTTGCAATTTCAAAGGGTAATTTCCAAACGAGGAAATATGAAACGTTGGCTCATACAGACAGGGTTGTGTGGGTCACATTTTGCTTGTTAATTTTGATTTTGTGTAAGACAATCATTGAATAGACGGATACATCTCGGCGAATCCCTATCCATCACACGACGGTATCTAGTGATCATCATTACAGGAACGTCTCCTGAATGTGTATTAAGAATTTTGCTATTCCTTCTGTCTTCAGGTCTAGATCGACTTCGCGGCGCAGAAGACATAGAGACGATAGGGATAGAAGGGAACGTGACTCGCATGGTGAACGGAATCAGGATCGTGACCGTAGAGATCGAGACAATACGAGAAGGTCTAGCAAAGGACATGAAAGGAACACACGCGAAAGACTTAAGGCGGATCTACCGGATAATGCTGAAATTGGTCATATTTATAATGGTACCGTTGTCAGCATTCAGTCGTTTGGAGCATTCATACAGGTAACTGTTTACTGTTATAGAGTGCATTACACTGTTGAACCATTTTTTACTCGAACATGATTAGAAAGCTGTCATCTGGAATTGGTATCGCTACTTGAGTTTGAACAAGAACGTTATTTTTTGCCTTCAGTGCCCACCAGCTGGTCTTGTTTCGGGTCATGAGAGAGTAGAACTCCTGCTTCGTATCATGAGTGCCTTAAAGTGGCGAAACCTCAACGTACATGAAATTTGCTATTAAGAAATATAACCGTCTAGGGCGAGCGCTACAGAAACTTTATGCATCCACTCTCAGATTTGGATAATTAGTTTTGATATAGTTCTGAATGTATCAGGTTTTTGATGATTAACTCCGTTTCGGAATGCGGACGTTGCCTTACTCTCTTGATTCGGTTAGAGTTTGAGCGTTCTACGTTGTGAACGAGCAGCCAAGCGTGCACGCTCACTTAACCAGTTATACTTATTTTTTACAGCCAGTGACATTCATTTGCCACATAATGTTTTGTTCTTAATATGCTCACTTTCAGCTAGAAGGGATAAGACAGCACGTACAAGGATTGTGTCATATTTCACAAATGAAGAATGAAAGAGTGAATGCTGTCGCAGATGTGCTGAGCAGAGGTCAACGTGTTAAAGTGAAGGTAAATTTAAGCCATTAATTTCGACCCTCTCACAATCTAGTAAATGTATGAAATGAGCCATTCGCGTGTGAATGAACTTGCTTTGTCAACACTAGGAAGTTTAACCTGTTTAAGGTGCTGAAAATCGAAGGAAACAAAGTTTCTCTTTCATTGAAAGAAGTTGATCAATCAACAGGAGAGGATCTTAATCCTGTAGAAGCTCCGTTAGCAGCAGATGCCGTTGGTGTGAGCAATCTGCGAAATCCTGAGGCTCCATGGACCAACCCTGAAGTTTCGGGTCTTTCAAACGCTGTGGCTCCAACCACAAGGTACCTTTCAGAGAATTCGCGTTTTGCTCTTTTGTTTACGTAGTCATTCTTCAGTGGGAAAAGCCGTGTTCGTATGTCAACCCCGGAAAGATGGGAATGGCAACAAATGGTTGGAGCTGGCGTGGTTACCAATCTAGACCGCCCTGATTTTGACGAAGATTCTGGTGTTTTAAGAGCAGATGAAGGTAGAGTTGCTAGCTTTGGTCATTTCCAAGAGAGCAATTTTTCACATTCCAACTGGGTTTTTTTGTGTTTCATTTTGTATTTTGTACTCAGCTCTCATTACTAGGAGAATTGCGCATTGGATTTCAGAAGAAAGCGATGGTGAGGATTATGAGGTTGAGCTCGTTGAAGAAGAGCCTGAATTTTTGCGTGGATATGGCAAAGGCAATCAGGAAATTGAGCCTGTGAAAGTAGTGAAGAATCCCGATGGAAGTATGGCACAAGCGGCTCTAATGCAGGTAAGGAGGTGCTTGATTACAATTCCTGAACGGCAAGATATTATTTGATTCCAGAGTGCTTTATCAAAAGAGCGGCGAGAGGCAAAGATACAAGCACAGAGGGAAAAAGATGGTGATCGAAACACGGGTTTACGATCTACTAGCTCTAGGATTCTGGATCCTATGCAAGAGCGCGAAATTGACAGTGACGATGCTAGGGGATCCATGAAGAGAGATAAAGTAGGTGTTCTGTTCCAAACTAGGAATTACTCAACTCTCTCTTCTGTTGATGTGAAAGTTCTTGTAGGACATGCCAGATTGGATGAAACACGTTACAGCCGGAGGTAAGGCGACATATGGAAAACGTACAAATTTGAGCATAAAGGAGCAACGAGAGTCCTTGCCTATATTCTCATTGAAAAAGGCATTAATTCAGGTAGGGGTTTAATCTTGTGAAATGCTGTTTTTTTACGACTCCTTTCCAATATCCTTCAGCCCATCATACATTTCAAGCTAGAGTAAAGAAGCTTTTGATTCGAAACTATTCTTACTCTACTCTACTGTTTTCACGCGCCATGTTTTTGATTCTCACTTACGTTACAAAACTTATTCACTCGATTTTAGGCTATGATTGACAACCAAATCCTTGTTGTAATTGGTGAAACTGGTTCTGGTAAAACTACTCAGATTACCCAGTACGCTGTTGAAGCTGGCTTCACTCGAAAGGGCAAAATTGGCTGTACCCAACCAAGGTGTGATCTTTATACTTTATATAAAATCCTGCTTTCTTTATGTTGCCATTTTGTAGACGTGTCGCTGCCATGTCTGTGGCGAAGCGTGTGGCTGAAGAATTCGGTGCCAAACTTGGTCAGGAAGTCGGATACACCATTCGATTTGAAGATTGCACGAGGTTTGTTAATTGATATTTCAGTAACCTTTAAATTTCTTTTCTTCACCCTTAATGTTTCTTCTTGCAGCCAAGATACTATCATAAAATACATGACTGACGGTATGCTTCTGCGCGAGTGTTTGGTGGATCCCGATCTTATGTCGTACTCCCTTATAATGTTGGATGAAGCTCACGAAAGAACTATCAATACCGATGTACTTTTCGGTTTGTTGAAGGCAGCCGCGAAAAAACGCCCGGATCTCAAACTTATTATAACGAGGTGAGAAATATGCGCTTCGATAGAATAGAGCTCAACCTGAAAATCATATTTTCTCTTTTATGATTCAATCTACTTGATGCTTTAGTGCAACATTGGATGCGGTTAAGTTCTCGGAATACTTTTTGGAGGCTCCTATCTTTACTATTCCCGGTCGGACCTTCCCAGTTGAAATTCTGTACACAAGAGAACCAGAAACTGATTACCTGGATGCTGCGCACATAACGGTCATGCAAATTCATCTAACGGAACCTCCTGGGGACATACTTGTTTTCCTTACAGGACAGGTAATCTTTAGTTAACTTTTGGTTATGTAAGAGATTGGTAAAACGTTGACTGAATGAAATCCTCGTTACAGGAAGAAATCGACACATCTTGTGAGGTCTTATATGAACGTATGAAGGCACTCGGACCTGATGTTCCTGAGCTGCTCATTTTGCCTGTTTATGGAGCTTTGCCGTCTGAAATGCAGACTCGTATCTTTGATCCAGCTCCTCCAGGAAAACGAAAAGTGAGGATGTGTTGTGCCTCCTTTCCTTTTTCCGATATGACGCCGGCACAGAAATCGGTGACACGCTAGGGAATAATTTGAACATTCGTTCGATGCATTTCTCTTCGAAGGAAAACCCTTGTTCTTCGTTTATTGTTGCTTTCAAGATTATATTTATTTATTACTCAGCGTTCGACAACTGAACTAATCTCTTTGTCCAGTGGGTTCCACTCTTTTCCTCCCGTGATTGAAAAATGTACTATAAAAATTGTCGTGATAACACGCATTTTTATATGTTTTCTTATTATTGATCGACATCCCACGGGCTAGACCTCAATTTCAGTTTCTGTTGTTGAGGGCAAGCGAGTGGGTTACGTAATGGTTAAATTGTTATGCAATGCTGCGCTATGACTCTTGCGCATCTTATTACATATCATAGAAGAGCTCTTTTTTTCTCTGATACCTGAAGTCATCATGCGTCTAATTTTCGACGCTCTTCAAAACCAGCAATGAAGACGGATTTTCGAATTCAGGTTGTTATTGCTACCAATATCGCGGAGACATCTCTAACTATCGACGGTATATACTTCGTAGTCGATCCAGGTTTCGTGAAGCAGAAAATCTACAATCCGAAAAGTGGAATGGATTCTTTGGTTTGTTTCCTTGCAATCCACGTTTGAGGTTTCGCTCACCATGTGCTACAATGTTGGCATCGTTTAGGTGGTCACACCAATCAGTCAGGCTGCTGCGAAACAGCGTGCTGGACGTGCAGGAAGGACAGGACCCGGCAAATGTTATCGACTTTATACGGAACGAGCTTATAGGTTTGTCCTTCGAAAGACTGGAATAAATATAGTTTCGAAAGTTGAAACATTCCAGAGATGAAATGCTGCCAACGCCCGTTCCTGAGATTCAGCGTACTAATCTTGCTTCTACATTGCTCTCTTTGAAAGCCATGGGGATCAACAATCTTATCGATTTCGATTTCATGGATGCTCCTCCTTTAGACTCCATGATTACAGCGCTTCATCAATTGCACACTCTATCCGCACTAGACGGGGACGGCTTGTTGACAAAGCTTGGTCGTCGAGTAAGCATTTTTTCGCAACATTATCTATGCAGACATATCAGATTTAGTGACAGTGCAAAATCCTCTGTGAACTAAACTTTCCACTTTTGCTGTGATTTTCCTCTATAATGCCGTGATATATTTATGAAAGAGCTATGGAGGATAAAATCGTGATATCTTATTAATTCAAACGTTTGAGTTTAGATGGCAGAGTTCCCATTGGAGCCCTCCTTGGCAAAGCTACTCATTATGTCAGTTGAGCTAGGATGCTCTGATGAAGTGCTGACTATCGTGTCAATGCTCTCCGTGCAAAATGTCTTTTACCGCCCAAAGGTGATTTTGATTCATTTGCCTCTTTGAGTTCTTGGTTTTAGTAATATGAATCCTTGGGATCGAAATGTTACTTATGAGATCTTTCAAGCCATAAGAAACATTTTGGGTAAAACTAAGAATGTAACGTCATGATTTGGAACATTGGCAAATTCAAGGATTTCAGGAAAAGCAAGAGCAGGCGGATCAGAAAAAGGCGAAATTCCACCAGCCTGAGGGTGACCATATGACACTCCTAGCTGTGTACAATTCGTGGAAGCACCATCACTTCAGTCAGCCCTGGTGCTTCGAGAATTACGTTCAAATAAGGACTCTTAAACGTGCACAGGACATTCGGAAACAGTTGCTTGGTATCATGGATCGCCACAAACTGGATCTAGTGAGCTGTGGTCGGGACGTACAGCGAATTCAGAAAGCAATCTGTTCTGGTTTCTTCAAGAATGCAGCAAAGCGAGATCCACAGGTTCGCTTGTTTTTTATGAATACATTTTTGTTAATTTTTTTGTATACCCAATTTCCAAGGCAAACACATTTTCCCTTTTGAAGACGATTGATAATTTTTTTCAGGAGGGCTATCGAACACTTGTAGATGGACAAAACGTTTTCATTCACCCATCGTCTGCACTCTTCCAAAATCAACCAGAATGGGTTGTGTACCATGAACTTGTAATGACGACTAAAGAATACATGCGAGAGGTTGGTTCTTTTGCCAACGACCATAACTATCACTGCCTCACTGAGCGAACGAAATGATTGAGAGGTGCTCTGAGCATATTGTAATCTAAAACTTTTTTACTTCCTCGAACCTGCCGCTTCATGACACATCAGTCTTTCAGCCACTGCTTTTGTTTTGGTTAGTATAAAAGTAGGTTAGTCAGGGCCCTGTTACTTCAGAATCCCTTTATTGGAGTGCTTCGCAACAACCACTAACTCAAGGNGTAAAGGGATTGGTGCAAGCTTTTGTATTTATAAATTTTAATTTAAGTTGACTGCCCTTTGTTCGTCCGCACATGACCGTTAACTACGTATTAAAGTGTTCATTCATTTCATGAATCCGTTTAGGTCACTGCAATCGATCCACGATGGCTTGTTGAATTTGCACCGTCATTTTTCAAGATGGGGGATTCAACGAAATTATCAGCTTTCAAAAAGAACCAAAAGATCGATCCTCTTTTCGACAAATATGCAGATGCCAACGCATGGCGTATCACACGCGTCAAAAAGAAGATTTACAATCCAAACAGATAATTTCTCTATATACTTGTTTGTGGTCTCTACATTCGGGTGGCAAACAGCATCCGTACAGGTGTGGTTGTGTGAACGGTTACACGTGCGGAATAACGTATGTACTGTTCTTTCGTTGACGATTTCTCTCTTTGTACATAGTACCTCCATTGGTCAGCTTTTATTTACCGAAAGAGAATCTATGAGTAATATGTATAGTCAAACGTTTTATTGTCATATCCCTCACGAATAAAGAATGAGAACAGGAGTTACAAAAACAGCTTTATTTATCACCTTATTGACCCACTCGATTGAATGGTCAGAANTGCTCTCATTTGTACAAAAACGCAGGTATTCCACTCGAGGAACTATTATTCCTATGAATTTTTTTCATTGTTTCAGTTTTTAATGGGGGGCATTGGAGCTATTTCGAACCGCAGCCATGAAATAGGTAGAAATCAAATACGTAATGTCTCTACGTGCTGTCATGCAAATTTTGAAAAGCTAAAAGCTTTTGACGATTACGAATTCCGTTTTGAGATGCGCCCTTGTACTAGGATTCTATTCAGAATAATACCGAAACCAGGTGTGTATTTGGCCTACACCACGGCTTTTAGGACTAGTTGTTCGACAATTCAGTGCCTCATCATCTCAGACGACATTGAACTCACTCAGGTGATCGTTTCTGCTGTAATGAGGTCTTTCGGTCAAGCTCTATTGTATCCAGGACCTGTAAACTCCTTGTGATTCAGGTAACGTTTGATACTTGGATCCAAGTGAGGTTGCAGGTGGTTTTGTTTTGTACTTTGGAAGCGAATTCTGAGGTTCACAAGATAGTCATTGAGTTTTACGGATTAAAACCGACCACCTATATCGTGTTTTCTGGATGAGTTCATGCAACTTAAAGGCACAGTTCACGATAAAAATTAGTTCATGAGATTCCCCTATAGTATGAATTCGAGGCTCCCACTTACACCATACCTGTCGTTATAAGGGCAAAAGCATCTTGGGTAGGGCACAATAAGGAACCTGAGATTATATCGTGTGAATGCCACACCCCTAGTGGACGAGTTTCAACGGCTATGCAGAGTCTGCGCTGCTCATAAGGGAACCGATGTAGGAAGTTCAAACAGTTTATCATGACCCATAGCGACAGTGAAAGGCAGTTCTGGACAGTTATGGTTTGATGTATTCAGCTCCTTGCACGATGTGAGCAAGTTAAATCTCGTCCAAAATCCCATTACATGCCATCACTGTCACGGTGATCTCGTACAACCTCCACTTCCACTATTTTTAAAAAGTCTGAAGTAGGCGATTTTTCTCGCTTTCTTCGCCGCCGATGTACTCCTCTTCTTCGACACTTTCGCTTTTCAACTTAAAAAGGGTTCTCAAGATTATTGTGAACTGTGCCTTCAAGCATCCTCACGAGCACTCTGTAACATTGATGACACACAAAGGCGTTTTCTGTCAAAAAAGAGTCCCCTTAAACCTGTAGCAATCGGATTGCCCGGCTCTACCCGGGTATCCCTCTTCCCTGTTACAAAGTCGAAATGCTCGGATGCTCCCCGTTCATCTCTTCGGGACAAATGATACATTTTTCACCAAAAAAAACTTTCCAAAGCTATTCTCCTCGCATGTACAACAAAAGCATAAAAACCTAATATAAAAGGCTCCGGGCAGAATTGGTTTATGGATGGATGGCTGTTTTGGATAACGACAAATTGCGCAAGCCAGGACTACCGGGATTCCCGTGGCAGTCGGATTGCCTTCATGAGTCTCCGGATCTGTTGAGTATATATTTACTCAATAAAATAACGCGCCCCAGATGGTATAGTACGAGGACGCGACGGAAGCCGTTACGCATTCGCCGCAACTGGGCCGAGTAGCCTTTCATGCTTGAGGTGGCAGTGTGAAAAGGTTCTCCTTGATATCAACCAAACCTGTGCTCGTGTGATGGGATTGTTCTGAAATGCGGAATGTCGTCCGGTCAAGTACGAATCGTTAAGTAGTAAGTGTGTTTCTGTTGGCATCTTCATTTAGCACATGCATTACTTAATACCGTTATTCATCAAACATTTCCCAAGCAGTGATTGTGGAACAATCTTGTTTTATCTGACACTTTTTGGGAAGTTTCCGTGCTACTTCATTTTTGGTGGGGAACATGTCTTTAGAAAGAGACATTTCTTTCCAAAGTTTGAGGGAAAGAAGCGTTTTTTCTTGTCCCACGCCTCAAACTATACTTGTGTGAAATGTCAATCTTAAGTTTCTTTGTTTTGCTGAGACCCCTAGGGTGTATTCATAGTCACAGATAGTTTGCTCTTGTAAGTCTAGCGGAACAGGGAATATGGTAAATATCTCTGTACAGCAGAAACGAAAAAAAGTGCAGGCATTGCTTATATAGCAACAAAAGTTGAGTTTCAAGTGCAGATGCAAAGGTCTGCATAGAAAATTCATAGAAGTTATCATTATAAATAGTGGTTCTTCCGTCACGTCGCTGGCTTTGATTACCATAACAGATCAGAGCAGTATTTGCACTGTTGACTGTCAGCCATGTTTTAATTAGCCTAACCTAGCCGAGTATTTTTCTTCGCTAAAATCAGTTTTGTTGATGGGTCAAATTTACTTCATCGGCTTCAAGCCACCAACCATTAGTATACTACGTAAACCCTAATGTTTCTTATTTAAATAGTTATGATGATGCACAATCACTTGTTGGGTCCGTCGTCTTCGCTCACGAGCACTAGTGGGTTGCAAACGGCTGCCGCTCTCTCAGAAGGTGACCAATCAGCTCTTTTCTTAGGGATTAATCAAAAGTTGGTTCGCACTTGCTAGAATCGCTTTCAATGATTGGATGACTTGCCTTTTCGATATCTATGAAGGAATTTTATTTTCGTTGTTTAGGAGCAATCTTGAATCACGCTTTAAGCCAACCGAAAGAAGAGCTTAAAACTCATTTCACGACGAGGGAAGGCTCGTATAAATTAATGACCATGGCGGAGTATTCACGCCCGAATAGGGTACCAATGAATCAAGTTGTAAATGATTTTCAAAGAGTTTCGCTAAATTCTCAATACTATTTTATTTCTCTTTTATTCATTTAGATACAACCTGGCACAGCAAATGTGGCAGGTGCTCCTGTACGAGTTTCATTTTTATCTTTAAATGGTATCAACAAGTCGCCATCACCTAGAACGGAGGTAATTGTGCTGGCATTGCTTTGTATTGTTTGTATCCAGAGGTTTCAACCCTTTGAAGTAATATGTTAAGGAACAAGATGACTTCGATTGTGATGAGAACTATCGCGAAGATCTTGCAACAGCCGACAGAATTTGTTTCAATGTTGGACGGGAGCTTTACGTATATTTATATAAGTGAGCTTGGATATTTTTCCATTTCTCTTTATCGATCTGTCATTCCACATTTTAGGGGAATTCATACTGCTGCTGATTTGAGTAAGCCTATTGATAAACGTGTCTACAAAGGTACCTATCCCACTTGTCACCATTTTAATCAAGAAACAGCCACCAGCACAAACTGCAGGTGAATTGGTTTTTTTAACTTATTAACTAAAATTCACTTTTTCGTTTATTGTTATATGCGGCGAAGGCAATCAGCGACTTTTCCTTCGCTCGGTTTTCGGTAATCGATCCCTTCTCTTTTTTTCGTGTTCGAAAACTCTTCAACCCTGTTGCCTAGGTTTACTCTCCAGTCGTTTTCCATTATGAACGCTGAATGTGCAAATGCAAAAAGGTCATTAATTAATGTCTTTTTTAAGCCTCATTATTGGATTTTCTGCTGGACAAATCCAGTTGATTGATCCCTTCCATAAAGAGTATCAGGCAAGCCGCCTCTACAATGAAGAGAGGTTTATTGACAAGACTGGTGTCACTTGTCTACGATGGGTTCCTGGTATGGTTTTTAAACATATGCCTGTGTTATTTATTTTATTTTAAATTTCGGCTTCTCGCCGGCGTGATTTTATATAAATAGCTGCTTCAGGTCAAAAGCAACACTTTCTTGTGTCATACAGCAGTGGTTATATGTACTTATACAACGAGGAATTGCAGTGTCCCTTAGCGCCTCCAGTTTATCAGGCTTTCAAGCAGGTACCATTTGACCCCTGTTGTCTTGTTTTTAAATCTTATATCCGTGGTGATTATTTTGAGGGCGGAGGTGGTGCAGTGGCAAGTGGCGCACTATATCACACCCACGGTCAGGGGATCGAATCCCGGATCGATGCCCGCCTAGGCCAACCAAGCTTTCCATCCCTCCCGGGTCGGTTAATTGGTACCAGACTTGTCTGGGAGGATAAAAGCACTGACTTGTACATCGGCTGGCCACCGCAAGTCATTATAGAGGCCACATACGCACTCATTACGCCACTGCGATTCTGAATGGAAGTCGAATGCGGGGCGCATCCTCAGATGGGTGATTACAAGTTTCGCGGATGATCATTCATTGCTCTATTCAAATTAGACGATTGTAGAGTTAATGATGCAGTAGCGCCTAAGAATTTCTCATTGTTCTACCTAAATTCTCATTGGGAGTCGCACTACCTTACTTGACTATTTTGAGAGTAGTTCTTCGTTACCAAAGCGGAGGTAATATATGGAAGGAAGTTCCGGATGCTTGCACTTATCTTAGCTGGCTGGGGAATCCTTGATTCTGACTTATTCATTACTAAGAAAACACTTTTGTTCCTATCAATTTTTAGTGTAATTTTTAAGGGTGACAAATATTCGGTGTGCATGTGTAAAGCGAAGACCACAAGAAATCCTGTGTATCGCTGGCAAATCGGTGAGGGCGGCATTAACCAATTCGCATTCTCAGGACCAGATGCGAAAATGTTGGCCACTGTAGGACATGTAAGTTTTCCGAAAAGTTTAATCGTCCACTGTGAGAGCCATTATACTAGACTTATATTTACTTGCTCTTATTCAATCTGCTATCACAACGTCTAAACTAGAAAGAACCTGACGAGGCTTTACTTCCTTCTTTGAGTTCCTCATGGTTACTGTTGTCGTCATGAATTTAGGACTGTACAATTTATTTCATCAGTTAACATAACGTCTTCGTTTTCAAATGTATTTAGGCTTGTATTAGAATGGTTAGGCCAATTTTCCCAGGTTGTCCCATCAGGCTTAAGTTCCTTCATTTTCCCCTTGTCCCGAATTTGTAGTAAATTAGATGTGGACTTTTTTCTTATTATAACTTAATCTCTATAAAGCAGCAACCTGTCCTTATCTCGCTCATTCATCCTTCTGAGAAACAATTTCGCATAAGTACAAGTCGAACTCGCGAAATGCCTGTTTTATATCTCTTTCTTTCCTTCTTAACTTTTATCCTCCGAAACAACTCTTTCACCTTTTCGTCATATTTACCATTATTATCGTTTTATAGGATGGGTATTTACGGATATTCAATTATCATCAGATGGAATTGTTATCGTACATGAAGTCATATTTTGGTGAGCCCCCTATCAATTTTTGTTAAAATCGCATCTTTATAATCCATGAATTACCACAGGTGGACTACTCACACTGGCGTGGAGTCCAGATGCAAAATTAATTGTAACCGGTGGCGAAGACGACTTACTCACTGTTTACAATGTCCATGAGAAGCGCGTAGTATGTCGTGGACAAGGGCATAAAAGCTGGATTTCTCAGGTCACTCTTAGATATTTGAGCACACATACTATTTTTATCTTGGAGCACAAAAATGATGTCTTCATTTCATAGAATCAAATTGGATGACTGTTTGCTATACTATTCACTGTAGATGTACAAGAGGTTATGGTATGCCTTTTGGGATCACCAAAATGCATAAGCTGGTCATGTGTGAATGTTTGAGAGACCATACGCTTCTAAATGTTCGAGATGCTTCCGTCATACGACTATTGTCAAGTTTGAAATAATGCCTTTCTGCAGGTGCAATTTGATCCGTACATGTGTACAGTTGATGGCGATCATGAGTTGAATGGGGTGGGAGCTTTGGACGGTGGCTCTGATGACGAGAGGCTGGGGCAAGCTTCTTTTGGGATAGTCCAAAATGGGCAGGACAGTAACCTACCGACGCCAGTAGCGAAAGGTATGTTATTAATTAGGTTTCTATACAACTATATGCTCCTGTTAATGATAAATTATAGCCAACGGACGGAGACCCCCTTTGCAAACATCATCTTTTTCGCGATGTTCTTTCGCCTCGTTTGGAACAATCAATGGAACTGGTCATGTGAGTTTGTCTTCCAGTTTCTACTTCTTGCAATGTTCCTGGAAATAGCTTTGAGTTCCGCTGACATTTTCTGCTCTTCAATTCAGTAAAGGTCTATAATGTATTGTTTACATTTCCTTCATTGGAAAGCTTTTCATTTCGTATTCTCACATAAGTTCTAATTTTGTTGATTGAGTTATTCGCGAAAGTGATCTCCAAAGATTATTAGCTTGTCAGATAGATTACTTAGAGTTTGCGCAATGACTCACATGCTTCACTGCACCTGTATTGCAGTGAGGCATGTGGGTCATTGCTCTAGAAGCAGCCAAAGTCGAGTAGCTCTCGCTGTTCTGATTTCCTTACATGTTTTGCACAGCTTATATCATCCTCCATAATTTTACTGCATCGCCTCGCCCACTTTGCTAAATCGACTAAATTCATATTTTTTGTTCCTCTGAACTGGGTGTTCAAATTGCAATGAATGCTGGCGACAGGTTGTAAATACATGGTTTGTGTAAGAAGTGATTACAAGAGATAGAGGTGGATAAGCAGCCAAGTAACCGCTGTACCTTCTCGCCTCTCTTGAGAGCACGGTGACATAATAATTTGCAATCATGGTCTCAGTTTTTGAGTTTCATATTCTTGTCTGGAACCTTGCAACAGCAATGATAACAAACGTTCTTGACGTGATGGAGTTATTTTTTCTTGAGATGGCTAGGTGTCAGGTCATCCTGAAGCAGGTCATGAATAGCAACTGTATAGCTCCTAAATTGCTTGCAGTCTCATTTCTAACATAGTCTCAGCCGAGCGGATTTACTGACAAAAGTCGAAATAGTACAATGAGTTAGTGAATGACCGCAACTGTATTTTTTTAGGGTTGCGGCAGTATATGTTACCGTATTGGAAGTGTTGGGCATGATACTCAGTTGTGTTTATGGGATATAACTGAAGATATGCTGAAGGTGAAACTCCTTAATCCATTTACTTTTTTGAACCTACTCTTTGGACATTTTCCACACTTTTTTCTCCTAACAAAAAGAAATTCTATTCAGCCCGCCAACGTGCAGCGTCACCGTAACTCGACAATAATTGCTCCAATGCTAGGGCTCGAAATCCAGGTTTTGATCCTCTTTTCACTCTACACTGATCGTCGAGACTTCTGCAGCATATATTATACTTTATTTAAGCTTTCCCTCCTTTTCTAGTAGTTCACACGTTCAGGTCTTCCTAAATCAATTCATCAATAAATGAAGAACGATTCTTTTGTATGTCAGTCAAAAGTATTTGTTCAAGGACTGTATAACGTGTTACAGACATCGTCATCAGGTCGTCTCGATCCTCTTTGCGAAGCATCTCCCGCACAGTCAGCTGAGGGGGTAAAGCCGAAGAAGAAAAGAGGCTTCCATCGCAGGGGATTCACGTTGGGACGACTGGGCGGGTCGAATAGTGATCGGTATGTTTTCTGTGTTAAACCATGCGAATCAGCTAAAGCACTGTGGTCGACTCTTATTTTGATGAGAGGGATTTCTTTTAAGTTCTAATCATGAAAATTTCTTTGCTTGAAGGCGTCGTCTTGAATCTCCAGCGTCGCTAACTACTGCTGCTCTTGATGAGGCGAAGCTTCTTGGAACACGAGTATGTCCGCGTATGGAAGATGTCCCCGTTATTGGTAAGAATGACTGTAACACTACTTCTTCTTTCTTCTTCTTTTATCTTGTTACTTATTTCAGAACCTCTGATATGCAAAAAGATTGCGCACGAGCGATTGACCGTACTTGAGTTCCGTAAGGATTGCTTGGTCACTGCCTGTCAGGAAGGTTTCATTTGTACATGGGCAAGACCTGGAAAGGTAACTGGTCATTATTCTATTTCTCCTCGTTTTTTTTTTGATCTTCAAGGTTAGTGCCAAGCGGATTTCTTTATACGTGTATTTATTGTTTTTGTTCTATCGATAAGATTTTCTCGCAGGTTCCGAACAACCTGGTGAAACGAGATGTCAACTCTCCCAACACTCTGAGTTCACCGACAGGGCTTCGCGATGGGGTTGTGCCGGCAACGTGGAGCAATGTCACGAGCGCTCAAGCGCACTGATAAAATGTGATATCCTTACGCTTTGCTTTTTACATTTTATTGTTAGAACAATTGAGGTTTTCTTGAACTGTCAGCATGAATCATCTCTCGAGTCCCATCGTCATCTAGTTCCTTGTACATCTCCCGGTTGCCGTTGAGCGGTGATATCAGTATAGAAAACTCTTGTCCAATGCATTCATTGATTATCACTCATTTGTGCATCTTGATAGCGTATCCTTTCATTCTGATTGGCCTTTGTATTTGTTTTTGCACAGATTTCCTTTCCATGATCCGTTACATAATTTTCGTCTACTAGATGTTTAATGATGCCAAGCCACCATTTTAACTGTTAATAACATTTCCGGGTATAGGAGCTGCGTACTACACTGTACAGAATTTGCTTCATTTCTTGGTTTGTTTGTCCTTTGGAATTCGAGATTGTTTTCGATCCCCGATTTCAAATTGCGAAGATAGATTCGTGATTAACGTGTAGATAGGAAGTGACTGTGCTAAGTTTCAAACGACTCTCAACTTACTCGTAGTATGATGAAATTACGTCATAAATGCTCTTCTGAATTGCATGATTATGATTGCACTTGCGGTCCCATGGTCCATTGTTGAAATCGATACTTTTACGGTATTTATCTCTTTTTCTACAATGCAAAAGGGGATGTTAGCAGACTGATACTGGTGAGTTCCTTCGCAGCAACTAGGTACGTCGTTCAAAGGACTTGTGTGAAATACATTTCCTTCGATTGTCGTGATGTTTCGTCAGCTTATTCAAAATGATTCTTGGATGTTTGAGTAAATACATTTTTTTTCGAAGTTACAGACTTAATGAGGTTGTCATCTGGAGCAAGTGGTGATTCGACGTTAAATCACGCTGGTGACAGTGAAGTGCAACTGAGTAAAGCTGAAGCCGAAGTATATGACCGTCAGATACGACTGTGGGGATTAGAAGCGCAACAAAAGTAAGTGGCTGCGAGTCATCTCAAAAAATCTCGAAAACTTTGAACTTTTCATGTTGCACGCAGCAAGCGCTTTCATTTGTGGATTGTCTGGTGTGGGCGCGGAAATCGCCAAAAATCTTATGCTATGTGGTCTGCGTTCCCTCACGCTTATGGACAAGGAAGTCGTGAAAAGGGATGACATCGATTCTAATTTTTTACTCGGAGTTGGCTCCGTTGGTCTAAATGTATGTTTTTATGATGCTTCGAGTGCTATATGTCTTCTGTGTACACACTCTACTTTTAGCGTGCGAAAGCATCCGTTGAGAAGATCCAGGCCCTAAATCCTATGGTTAAAGTAGAGGTAAGTTACTTTTTCATACTTTTATTTTCAACTTCCGGATGTTAGATCTCATTCAGGTTATGGAATCCGATTTGAATAGTATGGAACACGATTTCGTTTCCCGCTTTACGCTCGTTGTGCTTTGTGATCAGGCTTATGACGATGTTTTGCTTTGGAACGAACAATGTAGGGAGTTGAACGTTGGGTATGTCTTGACTTAAGGTTTTTTCACAAATCTTTGCTCTGAATTCGAGATTGTTCTCATGAACGAATAACACTTATTTTGCACTTGCGTAGTATTGGTTGAAATCGACTGACGTGTGTAAAATTAATAGTAATGAGTTTTTTCGCAGCCTTTGCAGCTTTCACAACAATGAGTTCTTTTTCTTGGAACAATCTGTTTTTTTTTTCTGCCAGAGATGATGTAGATCTGGCTGACTTTGCTTATGAATCTGATAGGTAAAGGATTTCACCAAAGTTGCCGTCGAGTGACATTCCATGTATGCTTGAATAATCCAGTCTTTCTAAGACGGATATCTTGGTTGAAGGGGTTGCGGCTACACGCTTTTAAAAACTGAATTTCAAAACTAGATTGTTGTGAGGTTGAGAACAGGAGTGTGCTTAATTTATAGCATGCGAGGCAACGGAGATTCGTTGATTTTCAGCTTCATCGCATGCAGTGTTTATGGCTGGGTGGGTTACTCTTTCTTCGATTTCAACAACCATCTCTTCCTCAGGTGGGTTTGTGAGAAATCGCTATCATGCTCCTAAGCCTAGGTGGATCAAAGCACACCGGTATGTCTAGGTCGGTTCTTTCAGTGCTGTCGAAAAGGAGCAAGAAGCCATATGTAACGAGGATGGGAGCGGTACGTCTAATGTGCCACAGGCCATAGACCTTGACTCCGAGAATCTTTTCGAGAAAAAGGTTTGCTGTTTGATATCCTGGTAATCTTCTGGTAATGCAGATAACTTCGATTCTGTCTTGGTTGCAATTGCAGATCGACTTCAAGGCTTCCTGTAATATAACTTTCATTGACTGTCATATTTAGAAGCTTTTATTTGTCTCTAAAGCGATTATGACTCTTGCATTTAACGTTGAAGTTACGGGTTAATTGCTTAAGAAAATATATCCGCATATCATTTCCTTGTTTGCCCATCTATCTCTCTGTCTACCTTCCTCTATGTAAGTATATGTATGTAAGTATAGTATAAGTATGACTGTCTGTCTGCTTGTTTTTCTGGCAAAAGTTCCCGCACCTGGCGCGTTAAGTGGTGCGTAGCCTGCTCGTCTGATGTGGGCTTAAAGAAAGTTTGAATGTATCTAAAGAAATGAAAACAAGAACATCATTTAGATGTTCCACTATCCGAGTTTTGCGGATGCTTTCAACGTTGATTGGTCCAAGAAGCAGTTGGTACGAAAATCGAGACGTCTCATTCCCTGCAGCTATTTTCCTCTTAAAGGTACTTTCTTGCTCTCCTTGTTTTCGGAAAATTCTTCAGAGGTTCCGTTTCAGCTATGTTGCGTGCCCAAAAAGAGAGCAAATTAACTGGGGACGAGGTCAATGATGTTAGCGCACTTTCAAAATTATGGAGCGAAGAGGTATCAGTGATGAACCTTCTTATCAGTTTTGATTTACTTTCTATTTATTAATTTTCAGGTATTGGCAGCTAACCATGAACTTGAAAGGCAGACGTTTCAGCCTGAGAAGTTTGTTTAGTGAGTATCTTCCAGCCGATTTTCATTTTCTAATTTTTCTACGCGCGCTCACACGTTGCATTCTCACCTCTTCTCCTATCCATCCCATACAAGTTCTATGTGGAGGATATCGCTATTCGCGACAAGTGTTTTTTTTTTGAGCTTGTTACAAGGTCACCAGCTATTTCATTCCAGCCTCCTTGGGCCACAGCTTTCATCAGTGTGTGCAATCGTTGGTGGACTAGCTGGTCAGGAAGCAATAAAAGTTTGTTTTGCTTTTGAAAGTTTTCTTTTTGGAATCCTTTGAAAATTTGTTCAACTTCTTTTATTTGTTCAAAGATTTTCGTAATACTGTTTTGGGTAACTTATCTAGAAACACTAGATGTAGCAGATTGAAATGAACTCGCATTTCCGTTGAAATTATATTTACGGGTTTGATCAAGCCTAGGCAACAATCATGAAAAGAGTAGCTCCACTCAGTGAAAGCGGTTGACTGTATAATTAAAAGGTATCCGTTTGAAAATCGGGATAGAAAGTAGGCGATCATCAGTATCCTCCCGTTTCTGCGCCATGGTTTGGCGGAGAGTGTCCTTTTTCATCCATAATGTCACCACAATATAATCAGCGTGTTCGCTGCGCCCTCCCTTGTTTCGCACTTTTCATTTTTTTTTCCTTCAGGCATTGTCAGAGAAAGAGCGTCCTCTCCAAAATGTGTTCATTTACTCTGCACTTGACACGACAGGGATCGTCTGCCACTTCCCACCACCTCATTGATGTTTGAAGATTCGAATCTTCTCTTTTATTTTGTTCATTTGTTATGCCTACATTTTTTTAATTTCACAATTTGGCGTAGGAGCCTCAATTGTTTGTTCTTGTTTGAGCTGTTTTTTGGATCTCGAACTGTCGGTGGTTTTGCCTTTTGCTCGTTAACGTCGAATGAATGAAGTTAGCACCATGACGTATCCACCTCACATTTCGCCGTCCTCCATGTTTGTAGTAGATGGTCTTCCATCGTAGGAGGCTGAAATTGTTGTATTTATCAATTATGCTTTTAACAAGACGCAAAAAACTAACGTTCTGCTTGTCGTGATTCATTTGAAGCATTTTCATGCTACGTCGATTGACATGCTCGAGACAGGCTTGTTTCAAGGTTGAGAACATTGTAGAGCTCATACATTGTGCGCAAAGTTGGCATATCTGAAGTGGGAACTGAGTGATGTCGATGTTCGACGATACGGAATGGCTTGTGGGAGAGGGGCAGTGATATTAACAACTATAGCGATAAGAAGAGGAATAAGGTTGTGTGTGTGTCAGTGTGTGTATGTGTGTGTGACGAGACTGTATCTGCTGGAATTCGGACTCGGATTTGCTTGGATCCAGACCGTTCCAAATTTTCAGGGGAAGCAAGCAGCGAGATAGTCACAAGAAGTAATTGAAAGTGATTAGAGCTGATAAGAGGCTTTCTTGTTAGAAGGTCAGAACCTTCAGGTCCGTGCCTCTCTTCGTGTTCGGCCAATGGATCATATTCATGAAAATAAGGAGCGGAACCATGGACATGAAGAGAAGAATCAGATCCTCATTGGATCCTTATTGCTAAGATCAAATTAACAGATCGGGACCTCGTAACTGAGCTGCTAGTTTGTCAAGCGCCGCTCTTTTAGGGCCCTTTGTCAAAACAATAAACCCTTTATGTGACTGGGAGCGTCCCCTTTTCAAAAATTCGTAATGAGAATGTGTCATTTGTTTTAGGACTCCTCTTTGTTCCGTTTAGACCAGGGAGCACTGTAGCTCTCCTCGGACGAGTTTCACCGGCATTGTAGAGGCTGCACCGGCCGCAAGGGAACCCATGTAGGAAACAACAGAGCTTCAACAATTTGTCGTGACCCATAGTGACAGTGAAAGACAGTTCTGTACAGCTCTGGCTTGATGTAGTCTGCTCTTTGCGCAATTGCAACAACTGAAATCTCGTCCGAATACCCCTTCCATGTTATTTCCGTCTCGTCTCCATCTCGTTCAAAATCTATTTTCCCTACTTTCGAGGAGCCATATTTTTCTCGAAATCAGCGAATTCTCTCGCTTTCTTCACCATGAACTATTCCCAACCTATACTTCCACTTTTCGAATAAAAACGGATACCTCAAAATTATCTTGAACTGTGACTTTAATATCACTGACGTTTATGGCAACACACTTACTTTCTGTTGCTGTTGTTGATCTTCGTGATTAATAATTCCTTCTGGAATTCAGTCTTCCCCTTGTCTAGAGGCCCCTCCGCACAGAGATACCTTTATCACTGGTTTACAAAACTACCGTTCAATCACTCATACATAACAGCCGAATAATATCTGGCTCGCTGGCTACCCCTTGAGATTCCCGTCAATCTATGTAGAACCTTAAAAAATCCAAGGCCAGGAAAGTGATACACATAGTTCTATCACGCTGAATTTTCCGTTCTCTTCAATACTGAAACCACTCATAAATCGACAATACTGAGTGATTCAGTACGCTTAGGAATGAGGAATTTTTTCTTTCTCATTTGAAGACGATTTCTCACCTGTTCGTTACATTCCATACAGCCCCCTTCGATGCAATCCATCAAAGGCACATAGATTTCACTGTCTGGCACGATGAAGTCTCGTGAGGGTTCTTTGTCTCTGGAAGATGTGTCACTTTTTATTTCCTTCGCGTTCCAAATATTCTGGTCGACATACAGCATTTCAAGATGTCCCCCTTGGAACTTGGTAGAGGCGATTCCCACTAGAGAAAATACATTGTACAACACCTGTTCGTAGAGAATCCTATTCTGGCTGAAATGCTCAGAAGAGAGGTTCGGTGACATATTGGCCTGAAAAATTGTTGAATATTACCAGCAAATGAAAGAATAATGTTTTCTTCTATTTGCATGTTTTTTTCGCGCATAATTTAATTTAATTTTAATTTTAATTTAATTTCTAATTAAGCCATTCTGTCTCCGGCATTATAACCAACCTCCATCAAATAGACATTGAGATCTTCATCGACGATAAAGTCAAATCGACTGAGCTCAAAAAAGCTGGCTTTTGAAGGCACCGACTTGAAAGCAGCGAGCATTCTCGATTGCTGGTTCCGAAACACCTGGAAGTAAAAATCCTGGTCCAACACTCCGAATGAGAGGGCTATGAATTTCTACAAAGGTTCTACTTTGCACCGGTCTCGGAAAACAGAAATGAAAGTCATTACGGGTGCTCGATTCCTGTAGTGGGCGATTTAGAGTAGGGCGTTGAGCGTTGAGCGTTGAGCGCTCGTTGGTCGCGTCAGGGTCCGCGATGGGAAGTCGGAAGCCCTCGTTTTTTTCGAGCGTAGGCCAAAAAAGAAAGAGGAATAGAAGGCTTGAAAGGACGGATTGGGATGTGGATGACCAGCGCATGCTCTGGCATGTAGGTCGAAGACCTAAGCTCAGCTGAAACGATCGCAAATCATGCTTTTCACGGAGAACGCTTCGGAAGAGAGCCCTACAATTGAAAAAGTTCCCAAAGAGCAGGAAAACAGTTCCCAAAGAGCGAAAATCATGCATCGGGATTTCGGGAACCTTTTCTGAGATCTTTTGAAGGTAAAAGAATGCTAGCGACTTGTTTCGATACCTCTGCGATGATATGATGAATCTGGGTCCAGATTCTCGTTGGTTTCATGCCCTTCGACAGTAAGTAGGCATCCAGTGAAGCTCGCCATCCAAGTTTTTGTTCGGTGAACGAACGTTTCAAAGACGGAATCTGAACTACACGAGAAAAACCTCAATTTCAATAAACAGTCAAGGCATAGACTGAGCCGATCAGGTTATTCCTTCATTAAACCCATTGCTTTTTTTGAAACTCCTTTTTCATAGGGATAAGCTTGCGGGAATAAAAATAATATAATTTCTGGAAAATCGACAGCTGGCTTTATTACGTCGCAGACAGTCGATTTTAAGTAAACTAAGGGCGGTTCTCTACGTAAGCATGATATTCAGTGTCCTAGGGCAGGTCAGAAGGTACATGAGGAATGTTTGTTTTGTTGTCTCGATTGTTTACCTCCCAAATCGGAGTGTAGTCATCACCAACGACATATTTGTCAAGTCTGTTCGAGTCAAACGGCAAGTAATCCTCAGCACAGAATCTGAAAAGATCACAGTCTTTACTTCGCTCCAGTTAACTTATTCTATTTCATGAAGGTGCCTCAAAGACGCAGTACACGAAAAAAGGCTCCCAAGACCTTCAACTAGGGCGAAACTGTGGCGTCCACAATTGCATATAGAGCACCGGGTACGGGTCGGAAAACTGCCCAGATAGGGCTTAATAAGAGCTCAAGCACGGGTTTCGTCGACGTCTACACCCAAAGACGGACGAGCTTTAACGGCGTTCGAGGGGCCGCACCATTCACAACGGAGTATGCTTGTTGGAAATTGAAAAGACCGTACAAGTAATGAGCCATGACGAAGGTGAAAGCCAATTTTGGGAATTTCTGGCTCACTGCCTACAGAGCTTCGAATGAGAGTCGAATATGGGGCGTATTCCAAGGGAAACTGATCAGCGCCTGTACGATCCTTTCTTATTCCCTACCCTAGATCTCCTACCATATCTATCCGCTATAACTAGTGCTGCAACTTCCTCAAAGCCATATCTGCTCATCGTGAAAGCTGTTGAATCGCTGTTAAATGCTTACCTTATGAGCGAATCTCCTTCATAGACGTAAACTCTGAGAGGATGGATAGATGTTATCACAGTGTAAACTCCAATGTCGAATTTTCTTAAAAGTAAATGTTATCTGGGGAAAGGTAGAGTTAAAGTCAGCTCACCGGTTGTCAATAAGCAATGGGTTACTGATGAATTCCTGAACAAATGAATCCTCCTTGTCGAGATTCATAGCTTTCAGTTCTCGTACTTGTATGTCTCTGTAGAATTTTAGAAGTTCACGACCATGTTTTTCTCGTTTTTGTTGGAAAATTCAAATAATCTCTGTTTCCATTGGAAAGAGGAAATAAATAGAACTAGAAAGAAGAATATGCACAAAGATGGAGAACTCCGACAACACAATTTTCTCTTAGTATTCTACTATGCTACAATTTTTTTTTGTCTTAGATAAAAAAATTAAGTTTCACAACCTTTAAGCGGCCTTGGATTCTTCCCGAAATGACGAAGTTCGGAACAAGATAAAGCTTGGGTCAGGGGGTGG